AATTATAAAAAAAACCATTAAAAGTTTTAAATTTTAAGCCTCATCTGGAACATTTAGTTTAATCTAGGTTTGCAATGTTGACCTGGTTAGGTGGTATGACCTTCCTTCACAGAATTTCATGAGCGTATGAGTGTATCCTACTGGTTTATAGGTAACGTAAATTTAGCGTCATACAAGTTTGTGAGTCCAGATGTAAGTATTGCCTTGTTTATTTAGGTTTTAATCTCTGATAGAATGCCCCCAAGTCATTCTGTTCTAAACAGTGAAATTTCACTTGGGACCTTGAGTTTTCCATTTCCTAAATCTAGCAAAGGAAATAAGGAATATGGAGTACGGACCAGCCTTGTATATGTGTTTGGTGATGCAAAAATTCTATGAACTATGGGGGCCAGTTCTGAATTTCATCATGACCTGCCTATCTACCACCACACAGCCACTCACCCACCCACTGTGGAACTCAAAGGAGGCCCCCTACTTTTATAAGAGAGTTTAGTGCCTATACCTATTGGCTACCAACTAATATAGGTGCTGTAGTGTAGCCATAGGTTTTATTGATCCCACTTCCAATTTTTTGCTTGTAACATTGAGAAAGTTGGTATGGAAGATAATTACTTACAGTAATAGTAATGTTGATACTCGATATTAAACATGTCTAAATATAGGTTGATACCCAAGATCAAACTTTTCCCCCACATCCAATATTATGGAACTTCAATTTTGACTGAAAGTGGAAGCACTTGCCCCTAAGGAAGCCGGAATTTGAGATTCCAGTTCTCCAGACTGACGAGAAATTTTGAATTTTTATTTCTATACAAATTTGGAATCCAATGATGCCAGATAGAAATATTTATTGCTAAATACTGCAGTTTTAATAAATTTGTCAATGTTATTGAAAAGCACTGTAGAGCTGTCAACATTCTTCCTTCTGGGCGGATGCTTAGCAAGTAGCAATAAATAGTCAATGGTGGGTTTATTTTTCCCGTCATTGGAGAGGATCTTAATCTTCAATTGTTTGGCATATGTTTTACTACAATAAGTATTTGTAACAGAAAAGTAAATGCAAGTGGAGAGAAACACATAAAAAACAGGAAATAAGAAGAAGAAGAAATTGGATGTCATTATTGTATGATATAGTAATTTAACGCTAACAATACTGGCCATTGAAATGGAGTAATTGGACGGTATTTCTATAACAGATGAAAATCTTTAACTGTCCTGCCAAGTGTCATGTGCTTTGGCCTCTTGGTAGCTGAATCTTTCATTCCTTCGCTGCCATTGGCATCTTTGAAACTAGTAAAAGAAGTAAGCAGAGATATTAGGCAGGAACCAGAAAGTTAGTATTCAAAATTTTAGTTGTATCAGTCTACTCATAACATACATATAGTTCTCTAGTAATCCTGTATTGTGGTTGCTCCTCCATAGTTCACACATAGGCGCTCTAATATTCTCTGTTTTATTTGTGAAAGAGATTTTTGTTGTTTTTAACGTACTAGGAATTTCATGCTCTCGACTTTTGTGTTTTATGTGGTGATTTATGCAACTTTTATGCACTCAATCCTTATTTTTAGGTCATCTATTTGGTATAATACGTACTTCAATCATCATGTTCTTTTCCGTTTGCTGATTCATTTTGACCTATTAGTCTGAGAATCTCAAGCATCTGTAACTTACCTTTCAGGGAGTACCTCGCCCCATGATACCTAGACACAGCAAACCCAGGCGTGTAGATTTGTACTATTCAAGCTGGTGTATTCGTGCAGGTAATGCAAGTGCACAACTATATCCTTATACAAAGTACAAATATCATTTTCTCGAGACAGATAATTTATTTTACCTTCTCCATACAACATTCGCAGTTGAGTCAAGAAGAGGGGATGGCCAGATGACAGCCTGTGAGGTGCTTCTCTTCCATCACGAAGACATGGGCATCCCGTGGGAAATAGCGAAACTAGGAGTAAGACAAGGAATGTGGGGTTGTGTTCGAAAAATTGAGCCGGGCCTTCGTGATTACCAAAGTGCCCGAAGCCAAGGCCAGCCACAATCAAAGTACGCATCCATGGCAAATATCAATACCAAAGTGCATACCGATTACCTAAAATCATTAGAGGGAAGCAGTAAAGAATCGTCAGAAGAGATTGTAGAAGTCGAGAAGAAGAAAACCTGTGGAAATAATCTCCCTAAATTCCTTATAGTTGGAGGTGCAGTCATTGCTGCTTGTAGTATTGATCGAGGGTTGTTGACGAAGGCAGTCATATTTGGAGTTGCAAGAAGGTTCGGCAAGCTAGGGAGGTGATGATTCTGATCAAGAAAGCAAAGAGAGTTATATATACTTAGCGAGGATTCATTGAGCTACCCTTCTTGTCTGAGAGGATCACAGGGAGTAGTTTTGTTATTGTTTCATCATAAATCATAAAGGAAGATATGCGGCAAAGAGATTTGATTGTATGTATCATGTTTGATCTCAGTTCGAAAATCTTTTGCCTTTTCTCTAATATATACATTTGACTTTGATATCCTTGTTCACTTCTGTAGCACACACGAAAACTCTTCCGAGTGTCCTCAAATGCAGCCAGGCTGTTCTACTTTTGTTAACAGCTAAAGTTAATTAACTTTTGCCTTGAAACTTTGGTATCTAATTAGGGGATCAGCAAATTGCTGTTGGTTCTTCTGTCAAGCACAGTAGAGGGGTGGGAAATTATTAGCTATAGAAATTAATTGAAAGATTTCCAAACTGAGGATGAACATGGAAGGGGAAGATAGGTTTCTTTCTGGCTTCTATTCCCTCTTCTCCCCATGATTTTCCCCTACAAATAGTAACAGCCTAATTACCACTTTACGAAAAAAAATTCTGTGCACTTGGAACTGGGTGTTGGTTGAAGAATAAACGCAAGAATTCACATGAAAGATTTCAATGAGCCACAAAGTTTGTTGACCTGTGCGTCAACCTAACATAAAGGTTTACGAAGTTCAACAACTCTAGCATAACTACTGTCAACTTTGGCTAAAGTAATTATGAATAGGAAACGCGAATAGAAAATAATGTTTTTGAATGAAAAAAAAAAAGAAAATAATAAATAGCTACAGACCTCACATTTAATTCATGACCCAATCTACTCATCTATACGTAAAGAAGAATTTAAAGAATTGATGTCCAAGTCTTAAATCAAATGTATTAAGAATTGGAGGGAGACAAGTTCATCAAATGTATTAAGAATTGGAGCGAGACAAGTTCAAAATGCAGTATTTAAAAAAATAGGGGTCCGTGCTTTACACGAGATGCACACTAGTAACCATAATATGAGGTCAGATAAAACCAAAATAAAGTGAACAGATTCCCAACTAAAATGATTATTACTATAGATTCATAAGAAATAGTTAAAGATAACCCGTCCAGAGTGAAAACAGTTAAAGAAATTGTTGAAAGTGAAGCGATGTTGTAACTTAAGCCCAAATGCTAGCTCAGTTTGAATTTGGTTCTAATGATGGTAAGATGCTGGATATGACTAAACCCAGTTGCACTTAGGGTGTGTTTGGTAGATTGCAACTATAGTTACAATGTAACTGTCACTTGTATGCAACTGAGACGTTGCAATTAATCTTGCATGCAACCGTAGTTATAACTGTTTGGTTCAATTTTTTAATTTTTCAACTTGCAGTTGTAGATGTTATTTGGTTCTGCTTGTAACTTTATGAATGCAACTTGTGTTTCGCTTTTGAAAAATTGAAAATAATTATTAGTTAATTTATATATCTACAATATTCATTTTTAAGAAAATATTTTTTCAAAAAGAATATAATTTTAAAAGCTAATTTTTTTCAAAATTCATATATTTTGAAACACAACAATTTTTTTGATAAAATTAATTTTTCAAAATAATAATATTTATTTTTAGAAATATTTTTGTGTGTGCTTTTGTCGCTCTTCCCCAATCGAATATTTTTTTTCAAAATAATAATATTTTGTAAATAAATAATTTTTTAAAAGTACGCTTTTTAAATTACACTATTTAAAAAAAATATGAGCTAAATAACATTTTTTAAAATATAATAAAATTTCAAAAAATATTATTTTAAAAATTTTATAAAATAAAAAAATCTTGAGAATAGTATTTTTATATAATAATAATTTTAAAACTAATATTTTGAGGAAGTATATAAAAAATGATATTCTAAAAAATAGTATTTTAAAAATCCAAATAATATAATATTTTTTAAAATTTATATTTTATGAAGGAAAAAAAATTTATTATTAAAAAAATAATTCTAGATCTTCACTAAAGTTCTTATTTTTTAAATAATGATTTTGAGATTTATTTTTTTTTTAAATTAATTTGTGTTAGTTTTAAATTTTTTAATTAATATGCTTTAGTTGCAACATTGTTGCAAGTGCGAATTACACTCAAATTGCGTAAATCGGAAGCTACAACTGGAGGGACATTTGCAACTGTAGTTGCAACTGCAACATCCAGCTACAATGAAACAAACACTTGCAATTGTATGAAAATGACCTAGTCGCATGCAACTGCAGTTATTAGCCCTCCAGTTACAGCCTACCAAGCACACCCTTAGTCAGGGTTCAGTTTCCTCCAATTCTCACTCTCAATACCAAGAGCCTTCTCTACCAAAACTCTATGTTTGATCCTTTTTAACACCAAAGTGGTTCTCGTCAACAAAAGAAATTTTAGATTTATAATGAGGCTAATGAGAATTATCAAATTCTCACATTCAAAGCCCCAAGATGAAAAGTGTGATCTTCTTGTAGTTGCACCTTGTAAAGTGCGTGGTCTACAAACTTTTTGACCACCAGAGTAAGATAGAGCTTGTACTTAATAATAATTCAAATTATTTTGATCGAATAGGCTAATCTATATGATGTCTTATATGCTAACCACATATTAAGCATCCACATCTCCACTTATAAACTCTTTAAATCTATCTCTGTCCTCTAACCATATGTGAGAAACAGAGGCAACTTATGTGTTTGGTAATCAAGGTGTTTGTTTTTGTTGTGTTTTTTAGAAAAAAACCATGCCATGGTGTTTTTTTTTTCAAACATGTTTTGAAAACACAATTTATAGTTATTATTTGGGCGAGCGGCGGCGGCGGCTTAGATGAAAAAACGGAATCTCAAAACACATTTTTGGTGTTTTGAGAAAAATGTTTATTTTTTGGATTTTGTAAAAGGTCAAGTCAAAAAAACGTTCCGGTTGCCAAACACGTCATTGCCATAGTTGCCAAACGCTCTGTTTTTTATTGTGCTAGTCCATCGACATCGGAAACGTAGGTACGGAACTGGACAATAAGGGGCCGGCCCATAATAGATGGATTGGCCATCTTTGCGGACCGAGACATTTGACTAATAAAACATAGATGGGCTGATCTTGCTTACAATCAAACCGCTCTATTTCTCCGCCGGTTGGGTAGCCCTCTACGCCTCCGTCCTCTACGGCGACGTCTTCGGCCTCCTCTTTATGGGCGTCGCCCTCTCCGTCGCTGTTCCGACCACGGTGGTGACCTGGATCACCGTCCTCATGTTGCTCGCCTTGGCGTGGAAACCAAGGAGGACGCTGGTGATGGAGGCAGTCTGGCAATGACGTAGCCCAGCGATTTTTTGCCCAGGGCAAAAAAAATTCCTGGCTACGCTACTGGATGCAGGTGGGAAAAAAATCCAGAAATTTGACGAAAAAATGGGAGACTAAATAGGGAGTAAGTTAAGTACCCTCCCTTCTAATCTTTGGCTGTTAGAAGCCTAAGCAAAAAATTGAAGACACATCTCATATTTCGGCATTGATTATATAGTAATAATGCTGATAATGACACACCTTCGAATAGAGCACAAATTTACCAGAACACCCACGCGGTGCAAAAATACAATTGAAAGTTGGGGTTAGTTTGGACGCTTAGTACACCTTTTTGTACCTGATACCTAAAATGCTAAAATATTGAAGCATCCAAGTGGATATTTGAATGCTAAGGTACACATCGAATACACAAGTATGTGAAACTCAATCTTTTTTTCTCCTTTAAAAATTTTAGTAATTTTCAATAGTATTTTGTTATTACATGGACTGGTCCATGTAATCTTTTTATTTTACTTTTACTGTATAAATAATGAGTTTTCATGGCCGAGCAATATCTAACTAATATCTAACTAAGTTCACGTCAGTATTTAGTCAGCTTAAAAACAAACATCATTTCGTGAAATAGTATTAATCAGTTTGCACCTAATAAGAGCATCTCCAACAGTTTCCTAAAAAATTTCTTCAAAATGGGGAAGCAAAAGTCATATTCTCCAAATTATTTTTGTTCCAACTCCAACAGCTTTTCTATTTTAAAGAATCCTGTATTTATTACAATAATAAAAATATTCTACATCCTTATTTTGGGATGCTCTTATGCATTGGAACTGACCCATGTTTTTTTTATAATTACGGATTTTGTTTTATATTTATTTTCTCATCCATCCCGTTTTGAAGAACGTGCTATATTTATGACAAAGCTCTCCCCAAATATTTGAAGAAGAAAAATTCCACAAGGACCCAAAATATGGGACCAATAAAGGAGACAAGTGAAGTGTCCCTCTCCTATTGGATAATGAGTTGGCCAGCATTAATGATGACCAACTCATTATCCAATAGGAGGGGAGACACCTCACTTGTCCCCCCTATTGGTCCTATATTTTGGGTCCCTGTAGCAAAGCTCTTTGAAGAATGCCCCATATTTGGGGAAGACTCTCCTTTTTTTCTCCTCCATTCCCTATTTTGGGGAATGAGATAAGGAGTGTGTTAGAGCATCCCCAACAGCTTCCCCATCTTCTTAAAATACTCAATTTTGGGGAATATAGAGGTTTTTTTTGGTCCAACAGATTCCCCATCCAATTCCCCAAAATAGGGAAGGAGGAGAAAAAATAGGGAGCCTTCCCCAAATCTGCAGCATTCTCCAAATTTTTGGAGAGAGCTTTATTATTGTAATAAATGTGATTTTTCAAAATGGGAAAGCTGTTGGAGTTGGAGCAAAAATAATTTGGAGAATATGACTTTTGTTTCTTCATTTTGGAGAAAATTTTGGGGAAGCTGTTGGAGATACTCTTAGACAAAAAAAAACCAAAAATTCTTCAAAAAATGAGAATACCAATAAAATAAGGAAGCTGTTGGAGATGCTCAAATATTAAAATCCGTATAAATCGTACGCTTACAAATTGGACTCGCTGCACATCTCTGACTTAAGTCTTGACCAAGGAAAGCAATTAAAGAAAAGAAAAGGTCATATTTCCCTAACCAAACAACTGCCTACCAAACACCAACCTTTCTCCCCTATGGTATAGCTTCACACAATCTATTACTAGCACGAATCAAAATTTTAATACAATTTTATTATTATAATTTTTAAAAACAATGCACTTTTATCGTCGTGATAAATGGAAGTGTATCGTTATTTATATTTTTCTGAACAAGAGCAATGCTCAAAAGCTTTGTTGGTTCCCTGTTCCCACAGAGCCGTGGAGTTTGAAAGGTTCATACCAAACCTGTCACGTGACCAACAGCTTGCCACTGTCAATATGAAGCCCTCGTTTTGAAACTATTTACGCTCTTGCCCTCGCCCCCTCCCGAAATTCCTCAGCCTCATCATCAGAGCAGCCAACGCTCCTGACGGTTCCTCCTAAGCCTTCCCCCCTCGTTGCCTCCGCCCTCCCCTCTTCTATATATCTCTCTCCTCTTCCCCCCTCCATTTTCTCAGCTCCCCCAGATCTCCCCTCATTTTTTTTCTCCGAAAAAGGAAAGCGGAAAATGTCGTCGATCTCCGCCCTCAAGATCCCCCCCTCCCACCCCTCACCTCCTCCAACCCCCCTCCTCCCATCAACAAGCCCCTCAGTCCCTTTCCTCCCTTCTCTCTCCCCGTCAGCGACCGGATTCCCTCGCCGATCCCTCAACCTTTCCGCCGCGTCGCGTCAAAACTTCGTGCTGTTTCTTCCAGCGTGTTCAAAGCTACGGATGCCGCCGCGACTTTTGAAGTACGTAACCAAAAAAAAAAAATAAAAAAAAAAATAACCCCCAACGGCTTTGCAAATCAAAAATTAATTTAGGAGTTGTTTCCAGACGATTAGCCGCGAGGAGGGGCTGATCTGTACGAGGACATGGTCCTGGGCGATTTTTTCGAGGACATGTGCGCGCAGATGTACTACCGGGGCAAGATGTTCGGCTTCGTCCATCTCTACAACGCCAAGAAGCCGTCTCGACGCGGCTTCATCCGCCACTCCGCACCGACGACACCGTGGTCAGCACGTACCGCGACCACGTCCACGCGCTCAGCAAGGGCGTCCCGGCCCGCGCCGTCATGGCCGAGCTCTTCGCAAGACCACCGGCTGCTGCAGGGGCCAGGCGGGTCCATGCACATGTTCTCCAAGCCCCACAACCTCCTCGGGGGCTTCGCCTTCATCGGCGAGGCATCCCGTTGGCCACGCCCCGCTTCGCGCTCCAAGGTCACAGGCCGAGGTCTTGGGATCGCTGTCACGGGACGATATGGACGTGACTCTCGCTTTCTTCGGGGACGGGACTTGCAACAACGGGCAGTTCTTTGAGTGCCTGAACATGGCGCAGCTGTGGAAGCTGCCGATTGTGTTTGTGGTGGAGAACAATTTGTGGGCGATCGGGATGTCGCATCTGAGGGCGACTTCGGATCCGGAGATCTATAGGAAGGGCCCCGCGTTCGGGATGCCCGGAGTGCATGTTGATGGGATGGATGTGTTGAAGGTGAGGGAGGTGGCGAAAGAGGCAATAGCGAGGGCGAGGAGAGGAGAGGGGCCGACTTTGGTCGAGTGTGAGACTTACAGGTTTAGAGGGCACTCACTTGCTGACCCTGATGAGCTACGTGACCCTGGTGAGAGATTTGCTACACTTGTGTCAATTATGTTCTATAATCTATTTGATTCATTTTTGTTCATATGTTGTTGAAAATTTGATTGCTTGGTTGAAGCTAATGCTTGTTACGGTCTTGTAATGGCATGTCAGAAATGTTAGAGTACATGATTAGGGCAGATTCATAGTTTGCGTAAAATTGATTGCTGAGTAGTTAGGTATATGACGTCTTTTTTAATGAGATAATTTACTGCAAAGAATTAGATACATCACTTGCCATGCATTAATTGCGATGGAAACTCTTGGTATTTGTATGGAGTTGAGTTGTTTTCTGGGAATGTATGGAGTTCCTCTATAACTGATGGGTAGTAAGTATTTGGTGTGACCTGTTACTAGGAAGTTTTGTTGTGTGATCTTTTATGTAAAAATTACAATCCTTGTCATTGTTTGCTATTTTTTTCCTTTTAGAATTATCAATGTCAGTGGAGTCCATGCTGAAGCATTCTTGTAGTCGAAGTAACTACCCCCTTGTGTTATGAAAGATCTTTCTTTGTTTTATTCCTCCTCATTTTTGCCAGTTTCCATTCTGTCTAGGGTTATTAAATTCCTTGTACATTCTCTAGAATATTGCTTCTTTCTTCTTTCTAATACTGGTATTAGTTAGTACCAAGAATTTCTAGATGCTCTGAACAAAACGACATGTAACTGCCAAATCTTTCAAATGAACCAGGTCATGCCATGAGCCCATGAGCATGACATTGGTATAAGATACGTCAGGGTTTACGTTCTTTTGGTGCTTGCCTCTGGATAATGTTGATTGGTCTATCATTTAGCTATCATGATGCTTTATTGTATGTATTTATTTGCCATTTTGTGACGTGAAATTAGTGAGGGGTGACATCAATTGCTTATAATAGTTTTTTGCTATTGGCATTTGGGCTGTTGGTCATTTGGGGCTATTCTAAAAGGAACAATTTAAATCATTACTTTTGGATCTTTCATTCCTTAGTCATTGAACATTCTATTAAATCCTCGATTTGGGCAGTTCTTTTTCATCTATCTTTGAAATGTTATGTATTAAGATATCTAAGTTGTATGGTGAAGGAATTTAGGGCATAATAGCTTGTATTGATGCAAATATTTGTGGCGCTTGAATGGTAGTTCATGATTTGCAAGCTGTTTTAACAGAGGAGGATTTCAAGTTATATTCCATACTCATTCGGTTCTAGCTTAGACCCGTTTTGGTGGAGTTTTAAAGATTGGAGGTAAATTTTAATTGAAGGCACAGGTCATGTCAACTGAGTCATGCTCTAACTTGGGTACTGGCAACTCCTGATGTGTGTTTGACATAAGAAAAGGATAGAATTGTAATCAGAGATGTGTGAGAGGTTTTTTGATAACTGCAGTCATCTCAACTTTTTGGTTGAGATAAATGGTTATCCAAATTTTGAAATAGATGAAACTTTGTTATGCTTTTAGAGTCAGGGTAAGCTACTGCATGAAACTCTGTTTATCCTAATTCCTAAACATAACTCCATGTTCAAGCAGGCACAACTGGTTATGGAGTAAGTGCCAAGTATTGTGCCTTGGAAATGCTTGATTTCATTTTCCTTTACACATACCATCGGTCTAAGGAATTTCGGTTTTTTGTTAAATAAGGTGGGCTGCTATCGTTGAAAGGTTTATGATACTTAAAATATTAGATGATTTGGAACTGCATCATGGGAAACAGTTATAGATGATCTAGATTTTTGGTACATACTAGTTTGATGGTTTGTCATTTTAGTGTAGTACTTCAGTATTAGACATCTAAACCAAATCCAGATAAATCCTTGGGATGAATGTTTTCTTTTGTGGATCTTATTTATAGTACCTTTTTCCTCATTGGCTTTAAGGGGCTTAAAATTCATAGTTTATTCACTATAGGCTATAGTTGATACTTATATGTCCTAGTCGGTCTTATATGTAATATGCTTGAACTAATTGGTGACATAGAGGCTCCACACGTTTTGTAATTCAGAATATGCACAATTTATGAGTTACTCTACAACTGAGCATCTACAACATAGATAAATTTTTATGTAGTGTCTCAATTTCGAACTCTATTAGAAAAAGAAACCTTAAGGCTGAAACCCATGAAATTCTGGAAACCGAAAGGAAATCAAAACTCACGTGGTTTTTTAAGCCTTTGCAAAAAGGGTATTTGTCTTGTTTTATTGATCTACTAAAGCTAGTTTGCGATTGCTCAACACATGTGAGATAGAATATAGATATTAGAAAATCATATAGTAATATGAGAGGTGTTCTAAATCAATCAGGTAATGAAATTCATCTTTTAGATCTGTACTAATTGCAATAAAGAGACAAGACAACATTCATGGTCCCTTGACATATTTTCATATAGCAAAATTGTTTACATAATGGTTAACTCAACAAGTTTTTTGTTCAATCAATATGCCATCTTGTAGAGTTATTATGTTTATTTTCTGATCTCACTTTCTCCTGCGTCAGGTGAGAAAGCTCATTATGCTGCAAGAGATCCCATTTCGGCCTTTAAGAAGTACATGATTGAGCAGAACCTGGCAACTGAATCGGAGCTGAAGGCTATTGACAAAAAGATTGATGACGTGGTTGAAGATGCTGTGAAGTTTGCAGATGAAAGCCCTGTGCCTCCTCGAAGCCAGTTGTTGGAGAATGTGTTCGCAGACCCCAAAGGATTTGGAATTGGTCCTGATGGAAAGTACCGGTGTGAGGATCCTCAGTTTACTCAAGGAACCGCTCAGGTCTAGGAAGAGTGTTCTCAATCAAACTGCTTGGAGTTGATAAATCTAGGGTGAAACTTGTGTTCATGGTTTTCATAGTAATTGCAATTGATTCCCATTCCTTGTATTGTTCTTGTTTTCATGAAGATCACTATGTTCTCGGATTATGTAGCCGTGGTATTTATGGTGTAGTTTCCATCTGTTAGTAGCAGGTTATTTGTTTTGTGTCAGGGCATCCTAAGGGTGCGGTGGTATTAAAATTTATCCATTTTCCTGGATGTTTTTCTTCATGCCTAGGTTGTAAAACTTCGAAATGAATGGAATTGTTCTCGATTTTTATCTTCTGAGCATTAACATTGGTTGTTGAACAATTCAATATACTCTAATGGGGTTCCATTTTATGGTGTACTTACGTTTTCATTCTTCAAATAACATATTTTCCCATCTCTTTCACAAAAATTCAAGCAGGAAAATTTAATTTAGTGGAATTGCTCAACTAATACCTTGCGTACTTCAGAGAATGTGTATTCGGTAAGATATATGGTTGGCCTGCTCATTAGTCATGTCTACATCCTGATATCTAATATCTGTAGGGGGAAAGAAAATTTTCTACTTCTGATGGATATTTGAAAAATGGTAGCAGCAAAATAGTCATAAATAATTAAAAGTTCTAGCAAGCAGTGATGTAGTTTAGTCAAATATTGTTTGCTTTAACAGAGCTTAAATCAAAAATTTGCCCATCCCTTTCAGTTTTCTCAGCGGTAAATTTTATTTCGTGGCTTATGCATCTTGCGTTTTCCTTATGCCTCTGTCGCTGTGTCACTGTTTCTACAAAATTAGTTATCTAAGCATTTTGGCAGAAAATTTTGTCTATATCATCTTCCCATTCTTTCTTAGCCATCATTGATCTTGTTTATCCTGGAGACGGTAAACAAATTGCCTGTATTATTTGAAATTCCATTATTCACCAGAAATTATAACTAATGACATGTTGCAGAACAAGTGGAAATAAAATGAGTATACAGATAATAAATTTGTGTACCTTTATCCATTTATCCCCTCATAAGAATACTAGTGGTCCTGAGATGTTCTATTGCGGATAGGATCAAACAAAATACAACTCCAGCACATTGGAGAACTAGTCAGCGTACCCCACCACGATAACGAGAAATTTTTCGATATAACTATATAAAATGTAACGCACAGAGGCTGTATACTGTCAACTATTAAGACTTTCAGAAGCTTTGACACGGCAAAAGAGAAGGGCATGTTTCTGACACTTGATACTCAATGCGTTCACTAGAGAAGTTGAACAACTGAATATCGTCTCCTCTATTCAAAAGACAACTGCATACTCTGAGCACCAACCACATCTATCTTGTTTCTGGCATCAGCTTTCCAATCTCTTCGACCGCTTGAACTGCTCATCTGTTCAGTATTGACACCAACTTCTAACAAAGCATTTTCTGTAGATTGAAAGATCCCCAATGCTTGAGATTGGTGCGCGAATCTTGCCTCTTTCTTCCATTTTCGACCACTATACACACGAGTTATAGCATTTGTAGTAGGATTGTTTGCTTGAATTTCCATGTAAGTTGAAGGTATGAAAGTCTCAGATGGGAAGACAGTCATTGGTGACTGCGGTTCTACTGACCACCTTGGTTGCTGCTGCGGCAAAATATGTGATCTCTTCATATCTGCTTCAAGTCGTTTCTTTGCTCTGTATCTTCGTTGCCTATCTCTGTTCTTGAGGCGACGAGCCAGGAGTTCTTCGCTAACTCTCAGAGGTTCCATTGCCATATGGGATGTTTGTTCCATAATTATCGGTCCTTGAATTATCTGCACTAATTTATATAACCAATCAATAGTTCTGGCATACAGACACAGTTTTAATTTTTGAGCTTCAGACCCTACTTACCCCCAAACTATTACTTACTCACTGAACCATTTTTAGTCCCTACAATATTCCTGAATTTTGGTCCATGTTGCCTCCTAAACTGTTAAATCCGTCCCAGTTTACCCCGCTGAACTATCACCTTAAGTACTTTTTGTTTATTAATTTGTGAGCGTTCTCAATGTATTTATCAAGAGGGAAGTGATAGTTCAAGAGGTAAGGCGAGACTCAAAATAATTCCAGGAGTATAATAATTCAGAGCATAAGTAGATTAGGTGGTAAGATAAAACCAAAATAGTTCAGGGATAAGCAATGAAAAATTTAATAGTTTAAGGGGTCAAGTAAGAAAGCGCTAAGCCCCTAGGCGTTGGACCTAATGCCTAGGCATTTTTTTTAATTACAATCAAGGTTATCGAAACATCTAGGCATGGCTAACTGCCAAATTGGCACCTAGCGCCTAGGGGTCAGGCCTACGAGGATTTTTGTTTTAGTTTAACTGATGGCGGAGGAGGTTTTGCTGAAGGTCGAGGAGTTGGAGGAGGTGTTCATTGTCAGTGGAGGAGGTCGGAGGAGTTTAGAGGATGTTAGAGAACGTGCAAGTAGTAACAGGAAATTACGATCAAGACATAATGGTGCAATCAGCATAAGCGGTCTCGCATAGGTGCTCTCATGATCTAGGTGGGCAGCGCCTAGGCCTAGGCTGAAGCTTTTTAAAACATTGGTCCACAGTAAATGTTCTGGTGTTCTAGTGCTTGTCCCAAAAAGCTTGGTTGACAACTTACTGTCTGTGATGTTGTAAAATGTCTATGCTTATGTTGCTTCTCGGAAATAAGGAAAAGAAAATTGGTTGACAACTTACTGTCCGTGATGATGTAAAATGTCTATTCTTATGTTGCTTCTCGGAAATAAGGAAAAGAAAATTCATGCTTTATTATAATTTCCCATGTGGAAAAATACTGCAATCTAGAATATGGTTTGATTTGGAGCCAAAAGTTATAATTATGCATATCAGCAGCAAGGAACATAAACATAGTACTTCCAGTGATGTTATTGACTGGAGAGTTTCATAAATATTTATCTCAAAAGGAACATGAAAAAAGTAACTAGAAAACAAAACTTTTCTAATTTCAAATCATTTTTTACTCTTCCATTTAGGAGAGAAAACGGATCGGACACGGCTCAGATATGATACTTTTCATGTCTGTATCTGCTTATCAATTTATGGATGCGAATACGAATAAGGACTTATCTCGGTAAGGAAAACTCATATATCCATATCCGCTAAAATCGGATATGGATATTTTAGCGGATATGGATATGAATATAAATGCAGATATACATGAGGATATAAAATAGATAGAGAAAATTAGATAAGATTAAAAAAATAGTTCATACGATACAAGAGAGTTTATTAATATGTTTGTTATTATGTTTGTTATATCTAGAAAGCTAAGATTAAATCCCTTGATCATCAAAATTAACCTCAAATCCGTTAATATAAAGATTGAATCAATTGCAACAATATGATCAACATATATTTAGATATTTCATATATGGATCCAGATATTTCACACCATATCTGTATCTATAACTATATCCTATCGGATATGGATATTCACTACCATCTTTGTATCCATTAGGAAACAGATATAGATATATCCGCAAATACGGATCTTTTTTTGCTTCCCTATTTCCATCCAAATAGAAAATTACATGTAAACAAATAGAGCCAAATGAAACAAGTTCTAGTCCGCTATTGCTCATGCTAATCTTTGGTACTTTTAAATATATGCCAATTTGCAGAAATTTATTAGTTTCTACTTCAGACACTTACGGCAATGAAACAAAACAGCAATGTCCAAGCATCTCAAATGAAGAACATGTGAAGAGTATACTAGAATTTGACATTTTACCTTCAGAATATTTGTCAACTCCACTATTCAAAAGCTTTACATCTTAATGCAGTAATATATATTCCTTCATCTTATAGAGAGAAGCCCTGCATTTAACAAGAAAAAAGAAATAGACTAGTTCTAACATTTTAACCATGTTAATATCAAAATATCTCAGACTGTGAAATTACCCAATCTCAATTTTCTCACGAATCACTTGTGTGGTTGCAACCTAAGCTTCACTACAAAGGATTCAGTTTTGATCATATATTTTTCTCATAACACCCTTTGGCAGTGAAGTGTTTCTTACTAGTATTTAGGCTAACCATGACACTTAGTTAAGAAATTAACACCCAAATCTATATATATATTGTTCCATTTCTTTAATTCAGCCTTAAAATTTTGCATCGATATATTGCTGATATTTTCCTCCAATTATGTAGTAATCTTTTACATTCCTTTTTATTTAAGAGAGTAGATTCTTATACCATTCTGCATGAACTAACTTTTGCTTACATACAATTAGTAATGTCTCAAGTGCTCGAATTCTGCTGCTGATTATTTGCTCTTCATTAGCATTAAGCAATATAACTCAGTTGAGAAATGCAACTGAGAGTGTTGACAAGTTTAAGTCACCACATGCCCATTGTCCTTTGAAATTCTCCACCGAATGAGTGAATGTATTACTACATTCTGATGGCCAGTAGATGGAAAGTACTATTTAAACGTCATCCTTTTGAGCTTCCATGTTCTGTTCGGATTAAGTGAGCAGCTGATCAAGAGTAGATAAATGAACCAATCTACCCATATAGCACAAACAAGCTACATACAAATGAAAAGTTAATTTTGTTGATTATCTTCCAGCATGCAAATTGAAACTAATTCCTGAACTAAGCGAAAGCTAAGCAGCATCACTCCAACACAAAAATGATTGACACACACACAACATTCATTAAAAAACAACAGTTTCTATGGGCTTTTGCTGATTAAACATGACATATTAGTCACTGACTTGGTACTTGGTAAATAAGACACTGTCTCATTGACCTCGTCGCCAAGATGCTGAAGAATATACCAAAAGTACCAAATGTTTCAATTACAATTTTACAAAAATTCAAAATCCCTCCTCTGATTATTTTTCCTTTTGGCGATATTCCTCCTCTAAATTCGTTATTTTTCAAATATGAAATAAAACTCCCCAAAAATGTTGTAATCATAGCGAACCGTATCAAATTGAAACAGAATGATCCGATGTTAACACAACTAGCCTTATGCGAACAATGCGGAAAATCAACAAATTTAATGCATCAGGAATTAAGATTCAATACAATCAGCAAATGTCTCTTAAATCAGCTAAAATTTGAGACATTAACCCTAACTTCTACGATTTAGGTTAACAATCGCATTATATAAACTAAATTACTGAACATAAGGGAGCAGAAATCAAGAAGGAAAAAAAAAAGTTATAAAATGGCAAATGAATGAAGTTGCATATGAGAAATTTACCATTGTGGGCTCTCAATCTTCAATTAGGACCAAATAAACCTGCACAATTACACCTGGGTTGGTGTATTTTTTTTTCGTTGAGGTGGTATGATTAGAGCTTAAAACCAAGAAAAATCATTAAAAAAAGGAAAATATTAAAAAAGAGAAGAAAAAAAAGGAGACGGTGATCATACCAACGGGCGAGCATTGTGAATAGTTTTTGGGTTGTGGGTCAAGAAGCGAGCGAGGGGACGACGTCGCTGAAGGGTAGAGAGAGGGAGAGAGAGACGAAATTTTCGGTTTCGGATGGAGAGGTGGCAGTTTGGCTTTGGAACGAGCCTCGAAGTGCCAAGGTTCTTGAGGCGAGTCTCACGAGGAGTCGTTCCTTCAAATTTTCAAATTAAAGCGAGTTAAAATAACATAATTTTTGTCATGGTATAAATCTATTATTTTTTGTATATAAATGTTGAACTGTATTTATGGATATTTCATAAGGCTGGGTGTTAAAATCAGGGGTTATAGTCATTATTTTACGAAAAATTCCTTGGGGACCCCAAATCATGGGACCCAAGGAGGGACAGGTGAGGTGTCAACCCTTGGATGCATGAACAGTAGATCATACACCCAGGGGTTGACACCTCACATGTCCCCCATTTGGGATCCCTGTAGAACAACTCTTATTTTTCTGAATTTTTTGAAGAAAACTAATTAAATTAGGGACAAATAGGGAAGTTAACTCAAGACTTTTGTTTTGGGGGGAACATAAGACATGTCAAATATTACAACATGTATTCGCTAACAAGGAGCACTATTTGAAACATAGTAAAAAAGGTGAGAAATTATATACCTAATTATTCCACGACGAAGATTACAACATGGTATTCATCAGTATTGATTTGAAAACATCAATGGAAAAGGGATTATACGGTTAAGTATCAACTTCATGAAGAAGATTAAAACATGGAGCATAACGCATTTTGAAAATTAAAGGTGGAAATGAATCAAATATTTATCAATTAGTTCGTTAATTATTAGAGTAATTATTTAGTTATACTTGATTTGATAGTTTATTTAACACTAAATAAATAATTTTTTATTTTTTATTGTTTATAATTTGCATAATTACTCACGTGGGGTTATCTTTTCAACCCGCTTACCATTTCTACTTGAGTTATATACTAATTTTGAGAGATTTAAATAATCTTAAATTAACTTTCTAATAAAGTATTTGAATTAAATGTATATACACCATAATTGCAAATGTATAATTTTTATTTATAAATTAAATACTATTTTAAAAAATAAAATCCTTTAGCGGAATACGTATACTTTGATATTTGTAAAATATTTATGAACATTTATCAAATACCGAGCATTCAACTTTGAAATATCTGAATCCGGGTTTGAATTTGTAATTTTAAATAAATAGAAATACAAATATCTTAGTGTTTGATTCAATTGGATGACTTAGATTTACCATCTCTGACGAAAGATTATTTATTAGTTGTTAAAAATAATTTCACGGAAGTTGAATAGGCGAAGCCCTAAGAATCTGTGGTGGCGAGTAAAAGTTTGTTTTGGTTTATGATATGATACGATGGTTATTTAAAACTGACACATACATGATACATAATACTTAATGTATACTGATTTTTATTATCGTACTTTTTCGAATCCCTCCGCTATATCTCTATCACGAAATTTTTTTTTTCGCATCTCTTGGAGGATATATTACCTATAAACCCCATCAGTTTTACCTTTATTAATTTACATATCAACATAGATTTTACTTTGGACCAAATTACTCTCAAATGCCAAATTCAGAAATGATAAAGACGTAACCTAAATACAACTTAAGCCACACGCGCACAGATTTTTGCATCCAGCCCAATATTTTTGCGCAATCCTGCCCAGATTTTGTTCCCCCAGTCTCCATCTTCTCCCTGTTCAGACCGCCAACCGTTTCTACTGCGGGCAACAAAAAATCGACGGGGCACTGTAATAAGTACCCAGCTATTTCCAGTAATAAAAACAACCAAACGAAATCTAGCAGCAATCCCCTCATCGCTTGTTCACACTCTCGAAACTCCCTCTTTTCCCCCAAAATTTCACCAGAATTCCCTTCCCTTCACTCACCACGAGTCAATCCCCTCCCTCTTCCGTGTTTTTCTTCTCCTTCCTTTCTTTTTTTTATTGTAATGAAAATCTCCACTTCATCTTCATCCGGTAACAAATCATAGTATCATTCAATCATTTTAATCATTCATTCGTTTTTAACGATCAGCAAAACATCAGATACCCCACTCCATCGAGCCGGCTATCCTCGCCCCTCCTCTCTCCTCGCAACCCCCCAGTCGCGCCGCGCACAGGTTGGGTTACAACATAAACTGAACGATTCCGCAGCATCGTCAGCAGTCACTGGTAGCCCCTTACTATACCCCGCTCCGCCTCACGCCGGCCCGTTTTTTCAAGCATGCGCTTGCCAAGATCGCGCCGCCGATCCCCGATCGCTCGTTCTCCGCCGCCTTTTCAAGAATGCGTAAACCTTTTTATTATCGCCCTTCTCCATCGCGGTCGCCGGTGTCGGTCCTATGTTATCTCGGAAGACCTTCTATGCCTCTTGAGCACCCGGGCCCGCCTTCGACCGATTCCGCCGCCGCACGCCCCGCTTCCCCCGATTTCTTCCTTTTTCCCCCTTTTTCCCCTTCTTGTTTCTTCCTCCTTTTCCCCGTCCCCCCCCCCCCCCACCCACCGGCCCCCCCCCTAAAAACACTGACACCAACACCCGCCGCCCCCCGCACCCCCCCCCCCCCCCGTCGCAATTTCCGCTTTCTCACCAGAGGAAACACTAACCCTAATCAGCATCCGGGGTTGTTGCCTTCGCCAGGGTCGCAGTTTGTGCCGCCATCGCCCAGCTCGTTCCTGAACCTACTGTCACCAAAGTCACCATACCCGCTGCTTTCCCCGGGGTTTCAGTATCCTCCACCATTGAGCCCGAGTTTCTCGTTCTCGCCGCTGGCCCAGCCAGGGATATTGGGCCCCGGACCAGGATCGCACCCGCCTCCACCATCGTCGCCTGGGCTTTTGTTCCCGCCGTTGCCTTCGGGGTTTTTCGCTGGCCTGAGCCCAAGATGGAGGGATATGTAAGGGTTTGTGTGGGGGAAAAATGGTATTAATTCTTATTCCTTTGTTAAATTTTGCTTTTCTTTGTATTAAATTAAATTGTTGACACTGTAACTGGTGCAATGTGCTATTGTTGTTGACTGATAAGGATATTGATTGGTGAAGGAATGAAGGATACAGTGTGTATTGATTTTCGGTAGTGGATGGAATCTTGGTTGTCCTCTGAAAACTGGAGGCAGGACTTCAAGGACCTCGGGTTGATGGTGGTGTGTAGATGGGGAATCTGAGGTAGGCACAAACTACAAATAGATAAATGATTTAGTTTACTTTTTTTTTAAGGAAGAATGTGATGTTGATGAATGTGTCATATAGATAACTAGTGTATGTAACTTTGTTGTTCAATCTATTGATTTATTCAGTTAAAGAAGGCCTTTTAGATGGTAAGAAATGTACTACCAACTGTCCATAGTTGGTGATTTGGAAGCATTATTGTTGCACTGCTCTTTTTTATTTTTGTTGTCCTTTGAGGTTGTTATTCCCTATTTGCTGTTAAGGCTAAATGTGGATGCTAGCTTTGTAACTGGCCTTGAGATTAACTATTACCCTTCCTTAATTGTGATTAGTAGTTGTGCAGTATGTGTGGATGTCTAATCACTTAATGCCTGAGATTAACCGTTAATGTGTCTTCATTTGATGGATACATATCTCTAAATTTGCCAATGATCTTACAAACTCCTTAGATCTCTTTTCATGGCAAAGCAAAATAGCTAGAGTCCTTTACATGGCCAGTTTAAGTTCTCTTAATGCATTTCTCTAGGGGTATTTTTTAATCTTGTTCTTCGTGTTCCCTACTCTCGGAAGTCGGAAGAGAAAAAGTGCTCATCTTAAGGTTATATAAAGAACGTGAGTCATTTGGTATTGTTGTGTTATATCCATAGTCATTTCTATTATGTTTCGCCCTGAACAAATAGTTGAGGAAGTTTGATGAATTTCAAGTTTTTTATTTTTATTTTATTTACCAGTGGTAATGATTGGATTGCTTCTTGGTACATTATAACATCATCTTTTAAGTACTCCTATTAATGCATGTTTGTAGTTGTAGTATAATGCAATCAAACTCTTAACAGTTTGACACTGTGGTAATGGGGTGTGTTAAGATTTAGCAGATATGACACTAGTTCATGTTTATTTTTGCCCAGTTGTACTCTCTGGTATGCATAATTTTCCATCTGGCAAGGAAGGATAGACACACTAACATGGAACAACAAAATGATGGAAACCTCAGCTATTTCTTAGTGCTTTGTTATTTACAAATACTTCACTCGTTACGCTGATCGTCCTCTGGCAGTTAGACATATTAAACTTCGTTTTTGTTGAACAATTGAAAATGCAATACTAAGTAGCATTTAATTTAATGGTTTCAGTTTATGATTACACCAAATTTGTTAGGACCTATTAGATCTGCTTGCAGCCATTGTCAAACGGATTAGGAATAAGTAGGCAAGGTTGTACATCCAGCCTGAATCCATAATAGATAGATTTTACTTTTCTTCTTTTCCTTTTCTTTTTTTTGGTGGGGGGGGGGGGGGGGGCCCGTTCAAGCAAACACCATGACAAGACATGGACCTAGTCAAGCCTTGGGTTGGAGCACCATAATGCGTGATCATGAAGATAAGATTCAAAGCTTTACCCAGGCGCAATGTATATCATAGATTTCTGGCTGCTATGCTATGTATCCCTCAAAATCTCAACAATTCTATACCTCATTCAAGCCTAGAAGGAACCTCTTCACTCTCGGTGGTCATAAGGGCCAAAGTTATTCCTCCAGCACTAGTCCTCTCTTAATTTTCATTCCTCACAAATGCAGCTTCCCTCATTAGCTCAAACCTCGTTGTTTCTGTGTCACAAAGTGATGAGCACAAACCTCGTTGTTTCTGTGTCACAAAGTGATGAGTAGCTTCATAGAAGTCATTTGGGACACTCTTGATGTAGGACGTTTAACGGACAAATTCATGGAGTGAGACAATCACGAGCTAAATGCCGACTCATACGTATTATTGACTTTCGTAAAAAAAAGAAGATCATATCTTCCAATCCGGAAGGTGGATTCTAACATATTATATATGTAAATCGCCTATCTCGACGAGACGGAGCCAACCAGATTGTCGGGGTTTTAAAATCTCATCAGTAGTATCCATTTTTGGCTGGAATTCGAAAATAATCAGTTTTTAGTTATTTTTAGTAAT